GACTGATCAGCCAGCAGGAAAGACGCTGATGTAATTGATGTACAGCACATCATCACATGAAAATCATTTCCACTGCTGTGTCAGCTATTTTAAGTCCACTTTTAGCTGTAAACAACACCAATAATACACGGTGAGTCAGCAGTTCAGAGCTGACCATGTAGCCGCCTGGGCTGGAAAACTCTTTTTCAGCGTGAAATTCAGAAATGAGCTTATCAACTGAGACTACTGCTAAGAGAATAACTGTTTACAAAATATGTGCACCTTAACGCTGAGCAAAATACAGAATGACACAGCAGGACCAATCCCAATGCAAGCTGTATGTTCACACCAACACAATACAAGGCCATGCATCCTATCCTTTTTTGACACAATGTGCTCTCTTCCCTGCTGTAGTAAATCTGTATATTGACATATTGAGGTAAATGTAGCACACTATGGCCTCTCTCAGCACGGCTCCTTGTTTGACAACCAACCCCACATATCAATGTGAACACAACGTCTCGATAAACTCACACTTCAAATCCTGGTTTCTGGAAGCAGTGTCAACCTGGGATCTGCAGGATTAGGCACTATCACGCATCCACTCCTGTCAAACTCACAGTGAAGCACTGTCTGCGAGGTACAGAGGAATGCATGCGTTTCTACATAAGAGCTATTGCATTAGAAACATCAACAGGGCCAGCTTCAAAGAGGCGCGCCTTCACATTGAATCAATCCCCACTTCCATTAGATTAGATGAATTCACCAATGTTACATTGCGTGAACGTTTCTTTATGCTTTCTCAAATCCCTCGCTCTGGTTCTGGTTCCCCCTGTGAAGCCACTTCAAACAACCTCTGCCATGGCATATCCCTTTGTGCTCTAAAACAGCAAATATGTGTCTCTCTAAAATGTTTCAGATGCGAGCTTGCAGTGGTCCCAGAGGCACAGGCAGCATCGCACACAGAATCAGGGGAGGGGGAAAACAATAGCTGAGTGTAAAAGTAGGGTTTGTGCTGTTAACAGGCAGGTCTGCAGGGACAGTTTGGATGACTGGTGAGTGATGAGAGAACATGATAAGGATAACACAGAGACAAAGCAAGGAAAGGGAAAATCAGATAGAGAGGGAGAAATCCTGGAGCAGTAAATCAGTGTGGTAATAAGGAGAGACGAGTGGGAGGGGGCCTGCAAAGGTCTAGAAACATATGTTTCAGTTTGTAAATAAAACAGTAAATTGCTGGATATTGCTTAAATATCTGTGGGCTTTGTACCTCGCTTTGCGGAAGTTCCTCGGAAATCATTCTGGGACTGCCTTCTTAAAATGCCAAAGCGGCTTCTTAATGTCAAAGAGGCCATCTGGTTCTCGACCAATTCAAGATGTTTGCTTTTCATTTAGCGTTTTTCCTCATGACGCTTCTTTTTTTAGATCAAATGCTTCATTTTTTTCAGTGTTAAATTGAATGTTAATATTTCACAATGGGAACTGTTAGCATGCACGCATCGCAGGCACCAGTCGAAGCTGTGAATTCCTGTTCACCCATTATCACCTGGGAAAGTAACTAAGTACTTTTGTTCAAGTACAATTTTGAAGGTATTTATAGTGTAGTTGTAATCTAATTGTATGCTAATTTTTACATCCACCCCATTGCATCTCAGCCGAAATATTACATATTTTTTAAAGGTGCAATACGTTTGTCGTTTACGTTAGTATGCACATATTTCATTGCAGGTAAAGGGCCTGCAATAACCTTTTTACTTGCAGAAGTATCAGCATTCAAATGAAATGAAGTTTTCAGAATTAATATAAGTTATTCAGAATATCCCCTGTTTTTGTAATATTAGGCAATACACAGTATTTCATGATTATAAAGCATTAATATGTAGGCAGTTCTTAAATGTTGATGTTGGCCAAGAAAGCTAATGTTAAGTCATTCATAAACTGTAGTTTGGTCCATTTAGAAGATATTGATGGATTGATGGGTCAATAACTCATAAAAAAAACAACTAGCTTTCATCAAAACAAGCCAATAGATGCAGTTGTTTGAGCTGGACTCTTCACATTGGTCTCTATCTGCAGCTGGTGGAGAGAAAGGCGTGCAGGGACTGTCTGCAAAGTGCAACGCCTAAAAGATATACTACTAAATATTCCCTTTCATTTGTTTTGAACCAAACATATTTTAAAGAATCTTGAAGTTTTATTCTCGTGTAAAATAACTCATACACTTTTATGTTCAAAAACGGGGATCGAACCACTGACCCTCTGATTGCTAGATATCCATTTCCCTCCTGAGCCACATCCGCCCTGCAGATAAAGGTATAGGTCCGGATTAAACATAACGTAGGGTTGAGTGGTTTACTCACTATATTATCTGTATCAGTATAAGTCCTTGAAATGGATGGGGTGGGCTGTAATCAGGAAGTATATATCATGTTTATAAACATTTTAAAAAGGAAGAGGTGGTCTCTAACCCAAACCTGCTCAGCTTCAGAGATCAGATGTGTTCGGGTTTCTCTCAGGCTTAAATCCAATCTTTTCTAAAGGACACAGTGACTCCAGTGACATGACCTCAAATGTTTTAATAGCCTTGTATTCTGTGGACATGACAACATTTGTAACACACATACTGACAATTCCTCTCCGAAATTGTATTTGCCACTCAGCACAGGTCAGTGAAATGACAAAGTGAAGGGAAATCACAGGCTAAACAAACGAAGCACTGGGTATATACTCACCTGGTCCGAGGTATGATTGTGTTGGTATGGCGAGTAAATGGGTGTCTACCAAGTAGAAGGTCAGTTGTTCGATACCGACAGTCGACAATGCAAAGTGTACTTGGGCCATATGGCAACAGAGGGTGAAAGATAGCACATGGAGGCAAAATAGGTGAATTTGCATGCTGTCAAAAGATTGCGAAAGATGGGGATAGGCGTTGCACAGGCCAGCGTTCAAGAGGGCTCCAAAGCCTTGAGGGCTCTACGATGGCGCTGCCAATCTGGCAGAGAAGTAACATTCATCTGCTACTTAGTAATTATTTATCTATTATCTAATATATCATTCCAATAACTTGTATATAAACTCGTATTGCACTATTCCACTTTTTTTTAAACTATTTTTCTTTTTTGTATTACTTTTAATATAATATACTTTAATATTGTTTTAATATTGTCTGCTTATCTGTATTATTGTGTTGCATTGTTGGAGAAGCCTGTGACCTAAGATTTTCAACGACATAATTACTCTGTAGCTATGTTAGTTTGACAATAAAGAACCTTGAACCTTGAATACTTAACACAAAAAATAGATCAGGACATTTGGAAAGACATTTTTGGGCACAATAAACCTGATGCTTATAACCGATGTACAAAGTTATTTTGGTAGCATTACACGAAAATGATTATTTAAACAATTTAAAATGTATGATATGAAAATGTGTTGAGGAAAAACTGAGATGTGGTGGTGTACAGTAGAAGTAGCAAAAAAGGGTAAAATATAAATCCCAGAGTACAGTTCAAGTACATCAAAATTGTACATAAGTGCAGTACTTGAATACATGTAAAAGGTAGTGATTTTGATGAGTCAGCAAGCACACACAAACAGGTATGAGAGCTGACGTGTGGATGCTCATAAAGAGAACGAGTTGGTGTCCTTTTCTGACATTGTCTGCTGTTAAGGTCCGCATGTGTGCGATGCAAAGGAATCTTTTCCCCCGTAGGTTGTTTGTTATCAAGGTTGATTCACTCTCTGTAGCTCACTAGCGTCTAATTATACAGGATGTTTAGGATAGTGGTGTTATTTGAATGTATAAACCTTTGTTTCCAGCCTTACCGCACTCTGCCAGACTGCCAGTCAACACTTGAGACAACTTCCTCCCCTGATTTGGGTAGAAGTCCCATAATTGAATAAAACGAGACCCCTCCCTCTCTTTACATACCACACAAACTCACACACTCACACTCTCTCTCACACACACACACACACACACACACACACACACACACACACGCACGCACGCACACACACACACACACACACACACACACACACACACACACACACACACACACACACACACACACACACACACACAGGTTTTACAGGCTGTTGTATAAAGTTAATAGGACGCATTTGGTTCCAAAGCCCCCAGCTTGCTCAGTGGAAAGTGAGCCGGATTGTTTTTCTGTTTCTTAATGTCGAAGTTTATAACGGCCAGATAAAAAATGTTGCCATGGTGATTTAACCACAACATCGCAATTACCTTGATTCAATGAGACTCTGGGGGCTTACAAGCAAACCAGTGTAATGCAATTAAGATATAAGTACCACCAAAAATGTCCTTAAAACACAGAGGAAGGATGCAGGAAAGCAACAAAGAGAGTGAAATAATTACAGTGGCTTCTTAAGGATCAAAGTTACTGATACTTGAAATAAATAATAAAACACCAGATTCACTTGCCAGTGAGTTTTTCCATAACAGTTGCAAAAGACACATATCCCCCCCGATATTTCCCATGAATAGTTTAATCAGCAATAAAGCACTTAACACTGATACAGCTAGAATATTTCACTCACATATTTTTCAAATCAACTTCAAAGTCCCCCTTAACAAAATCATACACTAAAAAATTCTCTGCACCCACCCCCAAACCTTCCCTTTGAGGGACAATATAAAAATGTGGATGGATGGAATAATTGCCTAACTTCAAAGTGTAGCTTATTGACCTGCATTTACTGTTGGAATTGCAATGCTGTGGTGTTTTCTCCTTCATAAATGTGGCTCGGCTGGGTTGGAAAAGTTGTTATTTTCCCTCTCATAATGCAAATCCCACTTTAATGCCCAACACTGACCCTCTTGACATAAGCTTAGTTGGAAGAAAGGTTTGTTACAGCCTCCATCTGCCTCTGTGACACTTGGAACTCACAAGGATTTGGGATAAAAAGGTCACAAAGTTAAATTAAAAAAAAGAAAATGTAGAAAAAGGAGCAAATTCAATTTAAAAACAGGACAGTTATCCACACCAATGCAATGTCAAAAAACACATTTTAATAACTATCAGACACTCATTATACAAACACACACTCATACGTTCAGTGATGTGGATACACAATGTCTTTCTTCATTTTTTAACATGGGGATGTAGACAAATAAAAGAAACATAATCTCATAAAGCAACAATATAAATGTCATAAATGGTTCAGGTGAAGACAATCAAATGTGAAGCAACATGCATGAGCATTAGTAGTGTCGCTTATGTTGTGAATTAAAGCCATAACTGAGGCCCGACTTCACACTCAGCCTTGTTTTTCACACCGATACAAATAATATAAAAATCATTCTTTACATAAAAAATGCCACTTCATGGTTCAATATTATATAAACCAGGAAATGTGGTGCTTATAAAATGAAAGCATTCATGTAGATGCTGCAGTATTATGGGTGACCTGCCCACTGCAAGACCTCAATACACTTTGTTAAAGCAGGGCTTGGATGTACATCGTGATTTCATCAAATGCATTGTAATATTTGATTACATAATTTAACTGCTGCGTGTGCAACTCTTCATCATTTATTGAATGAGAAAATTTCAATATAACACACTGTAATTTGGGATGTCAAGCGCACACAGAACATGGCGCTTAACTGTTGAAAGGATGGCTCCCTCTTGTGGCTACAGCACAAACTGCAACACTAAGAGTTACAGCGCAATAATTCTCTCCATTTAAAATCCATCAGTGATCCTAAAAAGCAGGGCTGGATTTGTTTGTGGCCAAGTCAGCAACAAATCCTTCACCGATATTTAAAAAAAGGAGGTTTAGGCCAAGAAGGCAGGAGAGTTACCAGGATCAGGGTGTTTATCCACAACACAAAGTATTTAAAACTCTCCTCTGATTCCTCCGAAAGTCTCCTCTCCTTCGGACTCTCAGGCTGTTCTATAAAATTTGTGTAGTCACTGCGGGATGTTTTAGTGTCCTTAGAAGTCACTGAGGATGCTGATGTCGGCGAACTCTTGGCGGTAGCGGTGGGCGGACAAGGAGAGCAGGAAGGCCCACTTGAGGCTCATGAAGCTCCACACACAGGACAGGTAGAGACTCCTGGGGTCCGTCAGGGCTGTGGGAAACAGAGAGAAACACACCATGTACATGAATCTGCTGCTAATACAGACCTCACAAGATATTTGAACAGGACAGCTGGGATTCGCTCCCATTTAGCCTCAACAGAGGTGGAACAGTGATGTTGGGTGATGAACTGGTCTTGTACTAACACACTTTTAATTGTTACACTTAAGAAAGCTTTAAGGATCCAATTCAGGAGTAAGTAAGTGCAGACATTAAAATGTACTGCAGGTGAATAAGATAATTAATGCCAGCTTTTTTCTTGTTTACACTTCATTGGCTAATGTTAAAACATTTTTGATTAAAAAAATAAAATAATGAAAGGGCTAGAACACTGCCCTATTTCTGAATTGAAATACTTATATACATTTTCAATCACCTCGACCAAGGACGTTTTGAACATGAACAGTTTCTGTACCGGAGTCATCGTGGATTTACTCTGACCAATTAAAGACTCCTCTAGAGCTTAAGTTCAAGAGCAGTTTAGGTTTGAAGATATATGATACATTTTCTCCTATGTTCGCAAGCTGAACTAATGTGAAGGATTTTTACTCATATCTTTCACCTACATCTATTCTGATATGGCCCAAAATATGACAAAACAACTAAAATGGCACAAAAGTATGTTAAGAATTATTTTCAGCAATAGTGGCCTTAGGGTGAAAAATAGCATTACTAGTGCAATGTGTGTGAGATGAATGCCATTTTTGTTGTCCCACGTTGTTCCCTCAGGGTTGTCAGAGGGCATTCTGGGTGAGGATTGTGGGAAATCTGCACATGAAGTAAACCTGAAAGAGTTTGGGTGAGGCTGAGTGGAGCCAGTTAACCCCCCCAGGGACTCTCAACCCAGTCATGTGACTCAGCAGGTTATCCAGTTTCTTTCAGTGATTCAATTTGAACTTGTCCTGCATATTTAAATTCAATTAAATAATTTCTTATATATAGAAAAATTAATTTTCTAGCATTCGGACAACCTATGTTTTTTTTTTTTAAATACACGCAAAATATGCACGTCTGTCCGTCCTGGGAGACGGATCCCTCCTCTGTTGCTCTCCCTGAGGTTTATTCCATTTCCCCCATTAACTGTGGGATTTTTGGACATTTTTCCTTGTCCGATGTGAGGGACCAAGGACAGAGGGTGTCATATTCATATTCTGTACAAACTGTAAAGTCCCCTGAGACAAATGTAAAATGTCTGATATTGGGCTATATATCAACTTTGATTGATTGAAAGGTACCATTTTGGGCAGTGAGTTATGTTAGTTATGTGGGACGAAAGCGACGAACAGGAACTTACACTCTTTGTTGTGGATGGCAATAGACAGGAAACTGATGAAGGCCACAACCGCTAACAGAGAGAAGAAGACTCCGATGAAGAAGAAGAACTTGAGGCCCTTCAGCCAAGTCCTCCAGTAGTCCTGCAGGTACATGACGTGAGTGATCAGGGTCCACAGCGCCAGCACACCTGAGGAACAAGCACCAACAGGTTAGAGAGAATCGCCATAGCAAACAAGTAGTAAACAAAAATACTCTAAACATTCTTCAACAAGCCACCCTTGAAAGACTGACTTTAAAACCCTGATGTTGTAGTTTTAATAGAATGCAAACCACAGAAAGTCTCATAGATCACTGAAATGAATTGAAATGTAGCTTATTATCTGAAATCTTAAAAATAACAATATGCAAAAACCATCCTTAAAGACAATACACTTGCAGCTAATGTAACCTGCTTATACTTAACACCGTCAATGTTCATTTGTATGGTCATGATGAACTCATGGTATGAGGGATGAGTGTGCATTTTCTGAAAAATCATGACACATCGAGTTGCCAATTATTGCTGAGGTAAGCAATCACACCCTTTTTTTGTTTTTAAATAGCCACAATGTTGTAGGCTATGCTCACTGGATCTGAAAGTGCAATGATAAGGATAAGGCTAGAGAGTGATCACATAACACATTATAAGACAGGTAATAACTAATAATTACCTGTTACTAATAACTCATTATTAATGACTAATAATAATGCACTTTAATACAGGGGTATCTCCTCTTGCACTTTAGGTAGCTCTTGTATCTTCTCTTGCACTTTATATGTCGTTGCTGCTATGTTGTATTACCATGTCATAAATACTTGTGTATGCTGCTCTTGCTCTTTTGCACTTTTTGCATATCATGTATTTTGTTTTTGCTATGTTTGTAAAATGTAAACTTCTTAAATGTTTTATGTGAGGGACTGCGGATGGAAATGAGCTCAAAGCTAAATCTGGCACTGTTACGCTTGACACATTTGAATGTTTTAAGTGTTCATTACTGTACATTGTCCCTGCTAAATAAATGATTAAATAAAAAAAAATATCATGTGTCATTCTATTTGGGAAAATATAATTGTGTCAATGAATCCTCAAAGCAGACAAGGGACAAGTTCCCTTATGAAATAAAAAGCAAAAGTGTTGTATTCTGGTGGCAATTTATCAATGTTGTATGCAGCTCTCTAATCAGAGTTGTGATAGAAGGAGAAACATGATACATTTGTTCTTTAACTAAAATACAAACAAAAGAGCCCAGATGAGTCAGTTTAATCTTTGGGAACATGTCATAATATTTTACAACAACTACATTGATCACAGTACATGCTGTAAACAGATTAGAGCAGAGGTCTGATATGCACTTGCAACAGTGACTCAAAGGTCAGATCCACGGAAACGACACTTAATATAATCTGTTGAATGACTGTAGTTTTTTGGTAGACTGGACGGGATCTAATGTTGTCATTTATTTGCAAGTCTGTGCCCAACGTCATGGCCATACTGTAACATCAGAAACATGCTTATAAAATAATACAGACCCCCCCCCCCCCAACACTGTGTTATGTGTATGTGTTCCCTTCCCTATTAAATTAGGTTTTTGTATACTATTGTTGGAAATGTATTATCCTCTTTGGCTCAAAAATACATTTTAAAAATGTGTCTGCACTTTGAAATACTTTTAATCTCCAATGTTTTAACAGTCTCAATGTTCCTTTTAATCAAGGTAAAAAGTTGACCTTTGTACGTGATGAAAAGCTGACACCTGGCAGATAAAAGAAAAGATCTGCTGCAGCGTATCCCTCCCTGATATTAAACAAATTATAATTTGACTTGATTGTATAACATATGTTGATATCTCTGCCCTTGAACCAGAACGTTGATCCCTGTCTGACTAAAGGCTCCTTTTGCAATAAGTAGGTTCAATAACTAGGGCACCTTCAGCCAAAGGGGGGTCACTGGTGGTATAGCTGAAGGCTTTAAGAAAAACATACATAAGACCTGTGAAATTGTACAAAACAAAATGCATGTTTTTGCAGTGTTTACTGTACCTGCCAGTCCTCCTATGGCTGCAGTCCACGGCTGTCTGAACGCGATGTTCCACACCAGGAAAGCAGAAAACCCCATGAGCGTCCCAAACGAGGCATAGCCGATACTAATGTACGTTTTATTAAAAGCCATTTTTACAAAAATAAAAGGTGGTGGGAAAGCAGGGACACGGGCTCGACGAGGCGAGAAGCGACTGTGTTTGTGTCTGAGAGAGAGCAGCAAGCTGGGTATTTCAAAACAACTGCATCCGGTTAATCTTCAACACACGAGGACACAATGTTTCTAACTGTGTGTGCTGCTGACTAATGACTGCTGTCTCAAACACGCACGGGGAAAGTTTGAGACATGACAAAGCGTTTCTGCCGAGAAATGTTGTCTGTAAAACATCGCTCCTGTTACGTCATCTGTTACCAGCCGAAGAGACCCTGCTCAGTCCGGCAGGAACCTCACACAACCTCGTACAGCGTACAGGACACACCAGGGGGTACAGCGCCCCCTACAGGAGCACAGGACACGAGGACACCTGAGCCCTGTTGTTGACATTGCATTTACCTCATTTGCAAAATTGCCTAATGAATTTCACTCAAATATTGGTCTTCAATATGCAGAAAAGCATTTTTATATTCTACATACACTTTTTGACACTTCCATGCTGAATAATGTGGCTTACAAATTCAATGAAAGGGACTAAATAGAAAAATTACCAGAATTGTTTTTGTTACAGTGGGGAAGATAGCTATTTTTAACATTTTGTGTAGGCTATGCATACATAAATATGACCAACACTTCAAATCAAATAGTTAATTAATAGGCAAATTACAACATATTGTAAAATGAAATTATGAATCAACTCTCCTGATTAATCATTAACAAAAAGATGTCTAAAGGTTTTGGCCTTGAATATTCAGTATATCCATTGTTTCTGTTTATTTGTCTTTCTGCTGTTCAAAAGTTAAGACATGAGTCGTGTGAAGGAGTTTGAAGTGCAAAGAAAGTAATCATTAAAAGAATAAATCATTAAGCTTTTATGAACACATTTTAATTTTCGCACATTTAAACAAGTCATTTTCTGTTTACAACGGCAACAACATTTCCCACTTATTAGCTTAGCTTTAGCAGTCTCTTGAAATGTCCCTAAATAAAAACATACATGAATGTGAAAACACAACCCAAAAAAAACAAGCTTCCTTCCCTGACTGAGTGAAACTAATTAGAAATATTTTTGTGCAAGTTACATTAGAATTTGGTCGGCAGTTTTTTTCTTATCCCTGCTAACTAACAGATAAACAAAACAAACAAAATACAATCTGCTTAACCTCACTACCAATCACCTAAGGGGTACAGCAAGTAGTGCATGGGATGACGTTGCTCAAGTCATGCCGTCAGATTTAAACAGACATGGCAGGTAGTAATAGAAAAAGAAATCATCCAACTTCTTCTTCATGACCTTAATGATAGCCGCGTCTCGGTAGATGCGTTGAACCAACATGTCTCCTTTGGAGAACACCAACAGGTCACACCATTCGGTGCCCGTCACCATCATCTCTCCTTGGATTTGCCAATAGGTCGAGTGGTTTCTCTTTAGTTGCAAGGCTCCGTTTTGGCAGATAAGGAATTTGCACTCATTGAAGCTAGGGAAGCTAACCATTTTGATATGCACCAGCCCGTAACTGGGCATCTCCTTGGGGTCGTACACCAACCCGTCAGGCAGCGCCCCCAGCCACGGAGCACTCGGTTGGACAACCAAACCACAGGTGGAAAAGTTGACACACATGTTCTTACAGTACTCCCGAAGTGCTTCCAGCCTCATTTCCTTCTCTATCTGTGGGGCCTCAGGGAGTGCCTTATGTATCTTGAATACAAGGTGCTCTGCATTGCTCCTTCCTCCTTTAAGATTGCAGATCGCCCTGAAACGGCTTGTCAGGCGCAAATTTCGCAGCTCCTCGACTTCCTCTTTACGTCCACGTGTGAACTGCTCCAGATTGCGCGCTTCCTCCCAGGTCATATGCATGACGTCCATGTGTTCCTGCTCCTTCGCACCAAGGATAGGAAGAGCAGGTATTGGATCAAGACTGTAGTTAGCCAGGGGAAGCAGTGGCCGAGGGGGGGCATCGTCATAAGACTTGTAATCCCGACTTGATGGCTCGGGGCACACGTAGGACAGGGGGCTACCTTTAGGGACTTGACCAAAGGCAGAGTCCACTAATTCCACATTCTTTGTCAGGCCCATTTTGGTTATCAGAGGCTTCTTGTCTTCTGGACAATCCTTGAAGGCTTCAGTGAGCCTTTCCAAGAAGGAGTGGCACTCAACTGGGGAAGGAACGACAGGTTTGTGGGGCATCATCCTGTAAGAAATTAGTAAATATCATTAGCTATGTAATAAATAAAAACATAAAAAGTAAGGTCATGTGAGTTGTAACTTTCTTACCTCATGGTTTTCTGCAGGGTGAACTTTTGCTTCTTCCATTTTGTAGAAAAAAACAAAAACATTAATAGCCTACATGCTTTAAACACTTGCAAGGTGCAACAAAGCAGGCTTGCAATATGACCAAAACCTTATATAACAGTCCTTACGGTTTTTGTATACACTAATATTCTGATAAAGAGTGTCCCACTCTTGACCTAACAATCAACATCGGCCCCTCTGTTGTTTCTCCGACTCAGACTGCAAGGAATCTGGGTGTGATCCTAGATAACAACCTGTCTTTCGCTGCAAACCTCGCTGCAAAAACCTGCTGCTGCAGATACACGCTTTACAACATCAGGAGGATACGTCCCATCCTGACCCAGAAAGCGACGCAACTTTTGGTCCAGGCACTTGTCATCTCACGCCTAGACTACTGCAACTCCCTCCTGGCTGGTCTACCTGCATGTGCCATCCGACCTCTGCAGCTCATCCAGAATGCAGCGGCTCGTCGGCTCGCCTTCCAACATTTTCCCACACCACACCGCTCCTCCGCTCACTTCACTGGCTTCCAGTAACTGCTAGAATCCACTTCAAGACACTGGTACTAGCTTACCATGCTGCGAATGGATCTGGCCCTTCCTACATCCAGGACATGGTTAAACCCCAGCACGTGCACTCCGCTCTGCATCGGCCAAACGGCTCGCTGCACCCGCACTGCGAGGGGGACCCAAGTTCCCATCAGCAAAAATACGTGGGTTTGCTATCCTGGCTCCAAGATGGTGGAATGAGCTCCCCATTGACATCAGGACAGCAGAAAGCCCACACATGTTCCGGCGCAGACTGAAAACTCATCTCTTTCGACTCCACTTTGAGCAATAAAATTACTAACAAAGCACTTAAATACTAATAAAGGACTGGCTTATCTAAAGCTAGTTGAGTAGCACTTGAAATGTGTTGGCTCTATGAAACCTGATTTACTTATATGATTCTGTTTTCTTCAAGTTTGTATCTTCTTGGTCGAACGCACTTATTGTAAGTCGCTTTGGATAAAAGCGTCAGCTAAATGCAATGTAATGTAATAAAGAAACTACTATACATCCATCATATCGTGGCAGTCTTATTTGTTTCAGTAAGAGTGTGGATGGTTTCGGCAGTCAATATTACTAGGAAAGAGATGGAAAGTTTACTGAGTTAATAAGCTGGGCTTGATTGAGCCAAATCTAAGGTTCGGGTTCAGGTTATTTTTATGTACCATAACGTAGATTTGTTTAGAGTTAAAAGACGGTAGCAGTTTTGAAACACATTTAAAAATCTACACAGAAAGAATCTTCCAAAAAGTACCCCATGCTCAATCACATTGAAAAACATTAGGACAATCATGAACAATAACATCTAAGGCATCAAAACAAGCTTACCGTTACATTTTTAGTTGACAATTTGTCAGATTTTTTAAGCTCCAGACTTTGACTTGTGCTTTGTTCACTCTTGTGTAGCTGTGGGTTATCTGTGATTGCACCTGAGACTGACGGGGAGCAGTTCTCCTCCTGTCTAGACTCAAGAGTGCCTGATGAGTCCGGTCTGAACTCAATCACCTTTATGTGGAATGGATCAGTGATACAGGGCATGCTTACGTCGTCGTCTTCTTCTTCTTCTTCTTCTGTTTCATATTTTACACAATCTGTGCTTATACAGTTATCCACTTCCCCCAGTCCTTGTTGTTGTTCTGATACCTGACTTATGTCATATTCAATTGGCTCTTCTTTAGGTTTTTTGGGCAACGGTTCTAGTATTTCCTGTTCCAGGCTGGATCTCAGCTCACAGGGCTGCTCTCTGACCTGTGTGGCTCCAGAGTATTGGCCAACATCTATTGTGGGGGAAAGGGGAAACACAATATTTAATACTAATCCATATTTTGCTTCAATTTGAGTAAAAAACCTATATAGCCACAGTTCCCGCCTCCGGAAGCAGTCTTTATTTTTACACACCGGAAAAGTTACAAGACAGATAAAAAATGTAGACCAATAGAGAGGCGAAGTCCCGCCCATCTACTTCCGACCCATGGGACCTTAAATATTATGTATTGAAGTCAATGGGGAGAGAAAACGTATCTTTCGATCCCGTTTGAATTGTGCCACGAATTACACATATGATGTTTGTCAATCTTAAAAAATAATGTCCATGTCACAGTTTGTCGTAAAACTGTTGAAATATATACGACTATGAAAAATACGCAACTAGAAAGACTACAAATCCCAGAATCCCGGTCCCGCATGCTGGCTTTTACGAAACCGACTAACTCCCCTTTTGTGTATGTACAGCTCTCAACATGCCCAGACTATACTAATACTTTTCGCCTCATTCTGAAAGAAAGAAGTGAATGTGCCAACGTGACGGCCGTCTTGGTGTGTGGTGCGAGACGGGAGATGTAGTTCATGGAGCGGTTTCACACCAAAAAAAAGTGTTACTTCACAGTTTTACGATACATTTTTATTTTTTTGACTTGCCAAATTATCTTTTAAATTGACAAACATCCTATGTGTAATTCGTGGCACAATTCAAACGGGATCGAAAGATAATCTTTCTCTCGCCATTGACTTCGATACATACTTTTTCCGAAATAAGGTCCCATGGAAGTCCCCCGGAAAGGGAGGGACTTTGCCTCTCAATTGGCTATACTCTTTATTCTTTGTCTAATCATGATCAGATGTTTACTACACCCAGGTTTGGATATTCCCTTGAGAGGATTTAGTTGTTTTTGTGACGTTTTGATCGTTTTCATTTCCTGTGGGGTGTGCTCCTCTTCACTCGTTTACCTGACAACATCGCCACAGTAACTGATGCCACACACCTTAACTCTGGAGGTTTTACTTCAGGGGTTTGGATTAAAGAGAAAGTCAGAGAGAAGCAAGCACTCTTCTAATGCAGTGTTTTTAATAACAGTCTTACTGAATGTTGCATTTATATTCTTCATAACTCATGTGACCTAGTGTCTCCAAATAATTACCAGATATGATTTAAAAACACACATCTCTTTTAATTGGATTTTAG